GAAATTTCTCCTCAGTTCTAAGTTGCTTCTCTCCTTGATTAGTTTCCACCCATTGCTTCTTGTTCCGAATCCCATCCGCCAGTCAATGCCGACTGGCGACTACACGGAGGAGAGCCTTTTCTGTTGCAGCTCCGACCCTGTGGAATGACCTCCCTGTCGAGATACGCACCCTCACCACCGTCCAGACCTTCCGCACAGCCCTCAAGACCTGGCTATCCCAACAGGCCTGGGGATAGGTTTTGAATTTCACCCCGCCCGAGTGTTGATTGTTGAATGCATGTTGTGTTTTTTATCAATTAATTTTGTTCACATATTGTTTATTTTTGCATTGCACCCCCTTCCCTATGATTGTAAGCCGCCCTGAGTCCCCTCAGGGAAAAGGGCAGCCTATAAATTCTAATAAAATGAAAATGAAAATGAAAAATGAAATGAAGAGAAGGAGAGAAGGTAGGAAGGGGAAGAGTAGGAGAAAGGTAAAGGAAAAAGGAGGGGAAGGGAGAGAGGAGGAGAGGAAGAGAGGGTAAGGGAAGAAGGAAGGGGAAGGAGAGGAGAGTGGAAGGGAGAGAAAGAGAAGGAGAGAGGCAGGAAGGAGAAGAGGAAGAGTAGGAGTAGGGGAGAGGTAAGGGAAGAAGGAAGGGAAGGGGGAGAGGAAGGAAGAAAGTAGAGAAGGGAGAGAGGGAGAAAAAAAAGGGAAAATAAGGGGGTGTCAAAACAGGTGAGGGATGATAAACAAAGCAACCCAAATGGTACATTATAACCCTGTAAATGGAATGACAAATAACTATGACATAGCATGCCTATAATTGTACGTAGAGAACCAAAACTTAAAAAAAGCCTTTCAAGAGAATAGAAAGAGCCTTCGCCAGACTCCAGGACTGGCCCAGGTTCTTCCCCAACCTTCTCACTGTCCGAATCTGCTTCCAACTCCACTGGCTGGCCATCACAACACCCCCAAGGGAGACTCACCTGGGCAGGTGAGCTTCGCCGTGGCCTCTTGAACGCTGACTTCCACTTCTAAGATGTCCTCCCTCCAGTCAAAGACCAGACCTTCCCGGATGGACACGCAGGAGCGGACTTTCTCCACCAGCTCTGGACTGAGGGACCTGCCCCAAACTTGAAGGTCCGTGAGGTTCCCGCTGAAGGATTCCTTCTCCTTGAAAGTGCCTCCCAGAGAGTCCTGATCTTGGCCGATGATGAACGTCCCGTGGCCATCAATGGCCCGAGAAGGGGCGAGCCCAGAGCCCAAGGCCTTCTGCTTCCCGTCGGCATAGATGGCCCATGAGCCGTTGGGTTGCTGCCACGTAACGCAGAAGTGGTGCCAATCGGTGTCCCTGCGGAAGACCGGCAGGTAAGGGGAGTGGTGGCCGTGGAGGATGATGGCGAACTTGACGAAGTTGTCCTTGTCGACGATGCCACGTAGCTGGAATTCATTGGTGAAGGCTGGGACCGCGTAGGAGAAGACGGTCGAGACCTCGGTGGCCGCGGGGTCCCACTGGACGTGGCCACAAGCGCTTACGGCGGCCATTGCTGGGAAGTCAGCCAGGACCTTCACAAACTTGGTGTCGGTTTTGTTCCTGAATATCAGGATGGAGGGCGAGCGGACGCCTGGAGGGAATTGGGGCAAAAATTAAGGTTAGGAGCCTTTCGTTTGGGGAAGGAGGCCCACAGAAGGATATCAGTTAAAAAGAAAGGAAGAGGAGAAGGAAAGGGAGAAGGAAGAGGAGGAGGAGGAATAGAAGGAGGAAGAGGAGGAGGAGGAAGAGAAGTAGAAAGAGCATATAAAGTAAATTAAAAAGAAAGGAAGAGGAGGAAAGGGAGAAGAAAGAGGAGGAGGAAGAGGAGGAAGAGGAGGAGGAAGAGAANTCCGGCCCTCGATGTGAGTGACATCCAGTTGGCCATGCCCACCTAGTCACATGACCACCTAGCCACGCTCACCCAGTCAGTCGTTAGGCAGATCATATATTAGTGGTCCGTGGGATTTAAAATTATGAATTTAGTGGTCCCTGAGGTCCGAAGGTTGGGGACCCCTGGTGTAGTGTCTCCTGCTTGGGTAGGGGGTAGGATTGGACTAGATGATCTCCAAGGTCCCTTCCAACTGTTTTCTGACATCCCAGAGACGAACTCCAGGTGTATTTCAGGCTTGTTCTAGCTTTAATGCAACTTCCCAAACTTAACACTCAGGAAGACAAACACTTATAGACCCGCCTATGGCCCTTTGAACTACGGTTGTCCCGGACTTATAACAATTCATTTAGTGACCATTCCAAGTTACAGCAGCACTGAAAAAAGGGACATGACCAGTTTTCACACTTACAACCTTTGTCGCATTCCGTGATCAAAATTCAGACACGGGGCAAAGGATTCATATTTATGATGGTCGTGGGGTACTGGGGGTGGTGGTGTCACGTGATCCTCTTTTGCGACGGTCTGACAAGCGAAGTCATTAATTCACTTAACGACCGGGTTACTGACTTATCAATGGCAGTGATTCGCTTAACAACCGTGGCAAGAAAGGTCATCAAATGGGGCGGATCGCTCTTAACAAACATCTCGCTTAACGACAGAAATTTTGGGTCGTAAGTCGAGGACTTCCCATGGACGGGTGAATTTTTCTTATGTCAGAAATTTAGAAGAGAAACATTGGTTTAGCACCGCCGACTTTTAAAAAATATTCTTTCCCATCCCACCTTGTTTTCAACAGAGTAACAGAGTTGGAAGGGACCTTGTAGGTCATCTAGACCAACCAACCCCATTTCTGACAAATGGCTTTCCAGTCTCTTCTTGAAAGCTACCAGGGATGAAGCTCCAACAACTTCCGAAGGCAACTTCTCTTCCTTTAAATATAGAATGCCAGAATTTGAAGGGTCCTTGGGGGTCATCTAGTCCAACCCCCCACCCACCCAAGCAGGAGACCCCACACCATTTCTGACAGAGGGCAGTCCAGACTCTTCTTGAAAGCCTCCAGGGATGAAGCTCCCACAACTTCCGAAGGCAACTTCTGTTCCATGGGTTGATTGTTCTCCCTGTCAGGAAATTCTTCCTTGTTTCCAGGTTGAATCAATCAATGAATCAGAATGGAGTTGGGAGGGATCTTGGAGGTCATTTAGTCCAACCCCCTCCACTCAAGCAGGAGAACCTACACCATTTCTGACAGAGGGCAGTCCAGTCTCTTCTTGAAAG